ACGTGCCTGGCTAAAAGTTGGGGATTCTACTCCTGGTACAAGGGGGAATGGATATTGGGGTGCCCAGCAGTCATAGCCGCAGTGAGTTTCCTGCTACTCCCAATCAAACACATCCTAATTGATAGGACCTCCCAAACGCCTCCTTACCCGCCATCTCTGAAGGAAAAAATCAAGAAGCCCTTCCCTGGGGGTCGCTCAGGGTCTTTCCTTACTTATCTCCCTAGGCTTGGGATGGCTCCTGGCACACAGAGGCACTTGATCAATATTTTCTGAATTGTACAAAAGTAAGAGGATTCAAACTGAGAGTTTCTCTGTTCTTGGCCAAGTCAGGAAAACTTCTGAGCTCAGTTTCCTGGCCTAGACATGAGAGGAGCCACACCTGGTTACTCTGAAGCTTGCTGGATGTTAGTGGCCGAGCAAAGTGCCTGACACAGGTCCTAACACACCCCTACATGCTGGGCACACACGCCACAGATAAGTGTTTTCTTTCTTTAATCACAATTTCTCACATGAGATGTTTTGAAGGAAGCCTCAAGTTGGGAAAAGACAAATCTTTGGCAATGTGTCAAACACACACCAACTCCACACACCATTACCAATTCTTATTCTTAGGAAAGTCTGACTGCTGGGTTCAAAGAAGAGAACACTTTGAAGAGATGTTTCATTAAAACCCTGAAGCCTTCTTAGATATCAAATAGTTATTTAGTGAGTAGGGTGTGAATGAATCAGGACATATGTATTGAATTTGTCTTGGATCCCTGTGGGTGTGCAGCCTGACTAGAGCAGGGCCTTTGCGTTCTCTCACTGTCCCAGAGCTGGAAAAACAGCGTCATGCTCAGCTGAACCCAAAACCACCTTGAACTTAGCAGATCGACCAGATGATGAAGAACCCCAGGCCACTTTTCAGGGTCTTTGGCACAGTAAGGGACTCCAGCTTGCTACGATTTGTGAATTTTTTTCTTTTGCTTGTTTTCTTTGGTTTGGCTTAAAAACCTCAGGTGGAGAACATAACCACCCCCTCCGACCAATGTCCACCATCAAGGTCTGAAAACAGATGGCAGGGTCACTCTTGCGAAGATGTCCCCGGATAAGAAATGAGGGCTCACAGAGGCGCAAGAATTCAGTTAGCTTTTAAGTAAGAGGATCTGAAGAGGGCAGGGAAGGGAAGCTGCCCCTCAGAGATGGCTGCTCTCAGGAGGGGGCCACAGCCAGCCACCAGTGAGGGACGGCAGCAGTGTCTCCTCTCACAGTCCAGCACCCTCTGGAAGAAAAGGGTTTTAAAAACTGAGGGGAAAAAATCTATCTGTGAAGGTAACAGATTTGTTTTAAAGGGTCACTCGAGTGCTGAAGTTTGAGGTGCTCCCTCTTGCTGGGCCCCAGGTGACACTCACACGTTGGGACAGACCTTGCGCCTGGCGGAGAAGCCAGGCTGGGAGCCCTGAGTGAACTGTGTGGAGGACAGCAGGCTCCAAACAGCCCCTCTTCCTCTCCTTCTCAGACTTGGACTCCTCTTGGGCAAAACAATTTGTTTCTTTTTAAAAGAAGAGAGAAGGGCAGATGTGTTTCTGGTACCATCGATTCCATTGGCTGGGTTTTGTGGGAGGAAAAGTCCCCTTTCAAACTCTATGAAGTGCTCCCAGAGCTTGCTCTTGAGGTTCCTGTTCAGGGCTCAGGCCTGAGGGAGGGAGACTCCTCCTGGCCTGTCCTTCCTCTTGGGCCTCCTTCCTCCCTTGTCTGGGCCCTCTTGTCACCACACACTGGGACATCTTGGTAGAGCCTCAGGGGCCACAAGACTCCCAATGTGACTCTGCATATCTGATGCATAAAGACGAAGGATCACATTTGATGTGGAAAATTTTCTCATCAAAATTGTCCGTGTGTTCTGACAGATGGGCTCAGCCCCCTGAGTCCCTCTAGGCTGACTCAAAAGAGAATTCATATCTCTCTCTCTCTCTCTCTTTTTTTTCCCCAAGGGAAAACCTTCTCTACTCTCTTGGAATGCTACACCTATTCAGGTCGCTAGATTAGTCATCAAATCGTTAAGCTCTTTAACTACAAAAATGACAAGGTTGAAGCCAGACACAGTTGCCACCCCTGTAAATCCCAGCAACTTGAGAGGCTGAGGCAGGAGGATTGCAAGTTGGGTGCCATCCTGGGCAACTTAGGGAGACCCTGTCTCAAAATAAAATGGAAAAGGTTTGGGATATGCTTAGATAGCATTGCCTAGCAACGGTGAGGCCCCAGGGTTCCATCCACAGTACCGCAAAATAAGTAAATAAACAATAAAGTGGCAGGGTTGGGGCTCTGTCCAAAGCTGACTTTATAGTATTGATCACCAATCGGTGCTTTTTGACCTCATGAAGAAATTGACCTTCCTTGACCTTTAAGTATATTGACCAGAACCAGTGTGTGCTAGAACTGGTTCATACTGGCTTAAGAGAGCCAGCTGATCCTTAAATTTTCAGCAATTTGGCAAACCAATTATTAAAAATATCCATTATAACGTTAAAATATATGATCTTAAGATTAAATTTTATTTTAAAAATGTAACAAATGCACCAAATGCATAAATTTCTGTTTTATGAATATTTTATTGACTAATATTTTAACCTCAGGATGAATATTCATTATCTTGAGATTACTCAGGTCTACTCTATCTACATGGTGGAAATACCATAAGAGTGTGCTACTGTATTTCTCTTCCCAACTCCTCATGGAGTACCATCACATTGGTGGCCTGAAATCAGCTATAGAGGAAGTGTTTGCCCCTCAAAAACTGGAAAATGAAAAGCACTGCATACGGCTGGGTGTGGTGGCACACCTCTATAATCCCAGTGGCTTGGGAGGCTGAGGCAAGAGGATCACAAGTTTGAGGTCAGTCTCAGTAACTTAGTAAGACCCTCTCTCAAAAAAAAAAAAAAAAAAAAAGGAAAAAAATGCAACATGTCAGGATTTTATTTCAAGGCCATTTCTTATGGTTTCCCAGAAATTACCAAGATCATTGTTTCAATGCCCTTGCACCCCTGCATCAAGTGGGGGGGGGGGTGAGAACCATCCCAAAGCATCAGAAAGGACCAGATGAGTATTAGCTCCTTTTCAGCAAAGGTGCACTTGGACCCTCCCTTTCCTTTCCTGATAGGTCTTAGTGGCTGAATGGACCCCAGCAAAGTAGACCTGCGCCCCGCATAATTACCAGCGTGTGTAGCCTTATTACAAAAAGGTAAAAGTGAGACAAAAAGTGTTGGTATTTACCTATCTTCAAAGAGAAGTGTTTAAATCTAAATCACCAAAGACTTTACCTAAATATTGCTGCCTCAGTCAGGCAGACACCAATATTTAAATGGTCAATATTGAATCCATAACTTACGCTCGGTCCTTCAGGGGTATTTTGTGGTTTTAATTTACTCCAGAAGACATGATAAATCAATTGGTCCAGTAGCCCAGGAGGGTCAGGGACTCACCTGGCAGGTGAGTTTGGAAGGCGAGCGCATAGGCTGCGTGCCAAGGCTGCGTCTCCCTGTCCCTCTCTCCCTCCCTCTCCCCAGCCCATCATGAGCGAGTATCCAGTGGGGACCACGTGTCCTCAGGCCCTCTTTGTCCTGCTGCTTGGGCGTGACCTCTGGTGGGGCAGGAACTGCAGTCTAGCTGGGGCTCAGACCCGGGAACTCTCGTGCCCTCAGACACAAGCCACGGTTCCCAGCGGCAGATGAATTTTTGGCCCCCTCTGTCTTAGCCCTGTGTTTTTGTTCTCTGTTGGCTTGGAACCCATCAGGGAGGGGGGCTTCAGTTTCAGGGTCTCTTGAGCCCCTCAAGAGGTCCAGGAGATGACTCAGAACAGGTCCTCCAAGGACGTACTAGGAGATTTCTAGACCGAGTGGGAAGCTGCCAACACTTGCCCACGGTGTATTTCATACTAAAAGTGCTAATGTTCTACTACGTGGAAATGTGGCATTTCAGCGCAGTCCTGGCTCATGTTGGCCCAGCTGCAAAACCAGTTCCTAAAGAAAATCCTGGCTTTCCCTCCGTTGCCTCCCCCGCACCCGCAGCCAGCTCCAGGTGGGAGCCTTTGATCTAGGCAAGGATCCTGTCCAGGCCTTTTTAAGTTTCATAACTGAACATCACCCCTCCCACATGCTCACCTGGCCTTGGAAGATAATGCCTCTGCCCATAACAGGGTAATTCCCCAGTCCCAGACCCTCATAGAGAAGAACATTTTGCAATGTTTTCTCCCAGCCTCTCTGACGAGCCCAGCTGAGATCATCTTATTCGGGGAAAATGCTTTGATATTTGCTGTGGCAATGTTTCTGGAAGATTGTCCACGTGAGACGTGACCCTTCCTGCTGCGTCTGCTGTGGAACTGGTCACCGAGGACACAGAGCATCCCCCAAAACTTTCTGTCTGATGATCTGCACGAGGAGTATCTTGGATTTTTGTGTCAGGGAAGCTGCCTGCCCTGGGGAGGGCCGAGCTTCTTCCTCCTGATGCTGCGTTAGGGACCACTTTCCTCCTTGACCTTGGCTCTCAGGAGGCTGCAGCCACACCTCTGCCTTCACGCTCCATTGCAAACGCTCATCCACCCTGTGTTTCTCCTCCTCTTCTCACTTTTTCTTCTTATTCTCCCTTTTTTATTGATTGTGATACATTTATTCCTTTGTAGGACATTTAAAAATGTTTTTGGAAACAGATAAAATAACTAAAATTGCACATTCTATGATTGCTTGAGGCCAGGAAGTGAGAACACAGGCAGAAAGAAGGAAGGTTTGGGGGAAATGGGATTTCTACATCATTTTTGGGGGGGGGGTGCTGGAAATTAAACTCAGAGCCTCACATAGGCTGAGCAAGCATTCTACCACTGAGCTACATCCCCAGCCCCTTTTTTAAGTCTTATTTTGATACAAGGTTTCACCCAGTTGCCCAAGCTAGCCTCAAATTTGAGATCCTCCTGCCTCAGCCTCCATACCCAGCTGGAATTTCTATATCTTGATTGCAGTGATGGTTACCTGGGTACAACATCTGTCAAAAACTCACTGCACTAAACAGTTAAAATAGTGAATTTTATTATAGAGAAATTGTATACCTCAATAAATTTGATGTACTCATCCAATTAAATGAAGTTTCTATAATCTGCCAGGTTCCTTGCAAGGTACTGGTCATCGGAGAGTGTACATAGTTGTGTGGGTTGTTCACTGACCAAGAACAACTGGTCAAGGAGCAAGGAGGGGCTGAAATCCAGGCCATGGGTAGCCCAGCAGGCCAGTGCCCAGCCAGGCATAGGTGTTCTCAGAGGAAGGAGCAGACTTTTCTGTTTCAGAAAAGGCATTAAATAGGTTCCTGGAAGCCTGATTCTGCAGATATAGAGAAAAAGAATAAAGACAGTTTCCTGTCCTTGCAGTGTGTTGTCTGTGGGGGGAGCGTGATAAGGAGCCAGTGACCTGGGAGATGCTTGTGTGTTGTAATAAGCACTGTAGGGACACAAGTGGGATGATGTCATGGAAAGCATTGGCCTCGGGGAGATGCTCCCTCTAGATACAAAGTCAAGGAAGACTTCTGAGAGACCGCATTTCAGCGAGGCCCCAGTGATGAGAAATAACTGCATTTGCAAATGTGGGGAAAAAGTGTCCAACAGAGCTGCTCAGAGGCAGGAGAGCTGGTCTATCCGAGGATCAAAGGCAGTGGGGCATGTAGGAAGCAACCAGGGGCTGGCCCAGGGGTTTAGAGTGCAGCCAGTTCCTAGCAAATCAGACCTGCACCTTGAGAAGCAGCTCAGAGTACCAACAGCACTGCAAAACATTTTACTTCTCATAGATTTTAGGGTTGCAGGAGACCTTGGAGATAAGCTAGAAACAAAGCCCAACTTCCCCTGGGAGCCCAGGGCACAGACAGGCTTAGCACCCAGGTTCTTGATTCAGTGGAACTAATATTTACATTTGCTCTGAGTGTCGGCACTGTTTCCTCCCAGTCCAGAGCTGTGTAGGTACTGGAGGGTCCAAAAACAGAACGACTACATTGATGAGATTCTGTGGCTGAGCAAAGGCTGCCTTCAGACGTCTCAGATGCCTGGAGGGGGCTGGAGCCGGCTCGTGGTGGGGCACTTGCCCAGCAGGCATGAGGCTCTGGACTCCATCCTTAGCACTGGGGGGACAAAAAGAAAATTAGAAGAAAAGAAAGGACAACTTGGGGCCTGGGGTTGTAGATCATGGTACAGCTTGCCTAGCGTGAGTCAGATCCTCAGTTCAATCCCTAGTACCACAAAAGAAAAAAGGTCACTGTAGGTGGAGACCAGAGGAATATTTCACAAGACTTGATTTTTGCCATATTTAATTTTTTTTTCCATTCTTGAAATCAAGATATCGTGTTTCAGTAATTCAAGTGTTTTGCTTTGTGACAGAGGCTCGATAAGCTGTCCAGGCTGGCCTCAGCCTCCCCAGTTGCTGGATGACAGGTACCACCATACTCAGCTATAATTCGAGTTTTAAGTCACTCCATTCTGAAGCCAATCCTATGTTCAGAGGTGTTGAGAGATGAGAAGACTCTTGAGGGAGTAAGGGGTGGATAGCGCCAAGAGCAGGATCCGTGGGGAAGGTGCTGGTCATCAGTCTCAGGACCTGGCATCCTCTTGCAAATCCAAGAAGCAAATTGGGATGGAGGCTGTGCATGGAGTCTCAGCCACACACCCTCTCCAGGCCAGCCACCTGACGGGAACACTGTCGTCCACCATGCCTCCTTCACTGGCCCATGCTCACCGTCTGTCATGGCAGGTGATGATGGAAACTACCTGAGCCATTGCTCTGTCATTGGTATATGATTTTCTGGCTCACAAAACCAAAAGTTCTTAATCTCCCTTCTCAAACAAGACTAAAGCCCTATAGTTAGGCACCACCCACAGAAACATCCCCTAAACCATTTCCCCTAAACTTCCTGCTCCACCCCATCAAGTTCCAGTGTAGCAGAAATGAAACCCACCACCTTCAACCAGACTTGAGTATTCTACTCAAGCAGGTAGAAAGCCAATTACAAGGGCTGGGGATGGGGCTCCGTGGTAGAGTGTCTGGCAGGCATGAGGCCATGGATTGATCCCTAGCACTGAAAGGAAAAAGAAAAAAAGAAGACTAGTTATAAACGCAGGCACTAATGTTTTAAGAGATGTTTTCCCTTGGGCATGAGGGCTTTTGTCTTTTATTTTTCATTTTCCTTTTAAAGAAAGTATTTTGGGGTCAGGCATGATAGAGCACACTTGTAATCCCAGCACCTCAGGAGGCTGAAGCAGGAGGATCTCAAGTTCAAAGCCAGTCTCAGCAATGTGGGCCCTAAGCAACTTATAAGACTCTGCCTGTCTCAAAATAAATAAATAAATAAACAAATAAACAGGGCTTGGGATGAGGCTCATTGGTTAAGTTCCCATGAGTTAAAAAAAAAAAAAAAAAAGGAAGGGGGATTTTACTGTCAACTTGCAGATGTTTCCTTCTCTGACCTTTAATCCACAGACACACCCCTGGCAGTGACACCTACGCTAAAACAACTTCATCCCTCGACCATGATGAGGGATCCAGGTTGGACAACTTCAAACTCACGCAGTTCCTTTCCCTAAGGGATTTTAGAGTCCCTTCTCGCCTGGGCTGACCTCCTAACCCAGGTGCTGTGGAGTCATTGCAGTTTGCTGCCTAGCGCTTCCTGTGCTCCTCTCTGCCCTTCTGTCCAGCTCTCTGTCCCTCCATTCATGTGGCAGAAGGAAGTAGTGCAGAAGTTAGTTTCTCCCAGGTGAGAATTTTTGTTTGCAAGTAACAGGGCATTACAGAGACGGGCAGCAGGGTTGTCGATTAGCCTCGGGTGCAGTAAGGACCCCAGGCTTACATGAGGGTTTGAGCAAGAGTCTCCTGTCACTTTGTCCTGTTCCTTACCTGTCCACTCTCACTGCAGACCAGCTCCCTCTGTTCCCCAGTCCCCAAACTAAATAATGGTCCTAGCGCCCAGCTCCTAAGTCCCAGCTTTTTGGTTTGAGAGAACAATTATACTGAGTTAGAATCTTAGTCTAATTCTAAATTCCTGAGGAAACTCTTTGATTGGTTCTCTGTGGGAATTCTGAGTGGAGCAAGTCATGCTGCACGGACTGTCCCATGCATGGCAGGACTTGGAACACGTTGGCCCCTGTCCCTTAACTGCAGTAGCCCTCTACACTACTGATGGTGACGGCTGTGGAAACACCCTCACCCTCCACCAAATGGCCCGCTGGGGACACTGGGGACAATGTTAGCATAGTCTGAGTACCGCTGCATTAGATGTTCCAACTCCGCTCATTCAGTTTGATGTCTGACTCCAGACAACTTGAAGACGGTCATAAATCGCCAAATCCAGGGAGGGATTTCCCTCAGAATGCATTTTGAAGGGTAGAGGAGTGTGGAACCCAAACTGATATTTTCCTTCCTTGGTGATTTGGAGTTACCTGTGTTTGTGTCTAAAAGCAAAATGTGTTTGGATGTTTTTAAAGTCACATCTTGCTTTCAGTAACAAGGGATTATTTTTCTTGCTCAGTGGCCTAGTGATGAAATCAAGCCGGTGGTAAATGTTTGTTTCTCTCTGCCCAGACATAGGTAGTCCTCAGAATGGCAAATATTTACTTGTGAGCTGGCATTCTCCTTTGGACTCAGCCAGTGAACACCAATGTAAACCAGGCATCTTCAGGTGGCCCAGGGACAGTGGCCAGGGAGGATAGCAGGGAGCGCACCACCTAGGGCAGCCGTTGTCTTTCATGGAAGTCTGGTTGGGCTCTGGCCAGCTCTGCCTGGGCCTTCTCCCACTGTGAGCCTGACAAGGGTCTTCCCTCAGCTCTGGGCTGTGGAGGTCAGACCCTGAACACACAGGCCTAAGAGCAATTAGGGTGGTAGGAGGGATGAGCAACGTTTCTTCTTCCTCCTCTCTCTTTTTTCCTGAGGTGCTGGGACTCTAACCCAGGGCCTCGTGCATGCCGGGCAAGTGCTCTCCCACTGAGCTGCATCACCAACCCTAAGATAGATTTTTAAAAATTCTTATTATGACCCTGAAAATATGATCAGAGCCATATCCCTAGCACTGCTATTCCTTGGCCCTAGTTTGGAGCCTGTACTGGTGAAAAAGAGGAAAATCACCATGAATTTTCTAATCTAAAAAAATTAAAAAGTTGTAATTAAAAAATTAATTAAAATTAATTAAAAAGTTGTAATTTGGTTCTATGGGGGATAGTTCCTTTTCCTTTTTTTAAAATATGGTTATCAAAAACTTTAAAATTACACTTATGGCTGTCATTTGCAACTTACATGATATTTCTGTGATCTAGTTCTGCTGTAGTATTTTAATCCTTTAAAAATTAAATTTTAAGTGGAAAATTAAAAACTGTTATATTTTTCAAAAAATCACATGATGTTTAGAGATATAACCACGGGCTGCACGACACTATTTCAGTCAGTGATGAACCACAAATAGGATGGTGGCCCTATAAGATACAATGGAATAGAAAGTTCCTATTACCTAGTGACATCATAGCCATGGCTCTGGCACAGCATGAGGCATTACTTGGGTTTTGTGGTGATGCTGGCGTAAACAGACCTACTGTGCTGCCAGCCATATAAAAGCATAGCACGTACAATTACGTTCAGTACATCTTACTCACTAATAAACAATTCCGTGACTAGTTTACATAGTTCCTATACTATGCTTTTATCATTATTTTAGAGTGTGCTCTTTGCATTATAAAAAAAAAAAAAATTACCGTCAAGCAGTCGGCCATATTCTGTTGACAGCAGTTTCATGCGTCTCGTGTTTATCATGTCTTTTCCTGCAGTCCAGAGGTGACTTCCAGGGACTATCCATCCCCTGTGGGCTGGTGGCAGTATGCGGTAGTCAGCCATGATGAAACTGATTAACGATGCATGTCTCAGGATGTGCCCTCACTGTGAAACCACACATGGCTGGATGTGCATTTTGTTTTTGAATTAAAGAGATAAACTAATAAGTCATTCTGAATTAATAGTATTGTAAGTGACAGGGCCACATGGAAGAAAGAAATCTGATTCAGGTAGTAAGAGAGATGCTAGCATTAAAGAATCCCCGAGTCCGTGCTGATGTGAATGAATGAATGGATGAGGGAGAAGGGGAGCGTATTCTCACCTCAGGAAACACCTGCTGAAGTATGGAGACGTGAGGGAAAGAGGTGAGATTCTAGTCCCACCTCTGTGCTCTGGAAGCCTCGGAGGCACGCTCAGGTTTGAGAACCACTGCCCTAGTTGATCTCTAAAGTTCTGTGGTTCTCATTTGTTTCTCCTACCAGCTCTGTGTCAAAGGACACCCTCCCCCAATCCATTCATTATTTATTTGGTGCCAACAAAGGGCCAGCCAGGGAACAGGGAGTGCTGGAACTCGGGAGGAATGGTTCTCCTCCTGGGCAGTCAGACTGGACGTCTGCTTGCAATAGGTACAGATTAAACGTAAAACATTTAATAACCCACTGGGTCCAGGAAAACATTAAAGAAACCAGCTGATGCATAATTAAGTTCCAAGCCGTGGTTGATCTGCCTGGTCTCATACTACAATGCTGAGCCAGTGGCTTGCAGGAGGGATGGGGCCATGGACCATTCCTGCGTGTTTCTATCACTTGCCAGAGACCCCATCCTCTCCACAGGCTGTTTCCTAGATAGCTAGGGAGAATCTCTCCTAGTGTCTGCTAAATAATTTTATAAGCCCAGAGTTAATTCTCATTTGTTAGGATCTTTTTTTTTCTTCGAGGCAGGGTCTTGTTAAATTGCCCAGGCTGGCCTTGAACTTGCGTTCTTCCTGTTTCAGCCTCCTGAGTTGCTGGGATCACAGGCATATTGTCTGTTAAGATCCTAACCTATGGCCCCAGAAAGTATCAAGCTTGCTCCCGACTGGTTAAAAAACAAAGATCTCTCCTATCGCGGTTGCTGGGATTACCCCCGCACCCCTTACAAGTCTCCCACTCACGTCTTCTCCCTCGTCCTCAATCCCACCTGACTCCCAAAACTTACATGTTCAGTCCTGACCTGTCCTCACTTCAATTACTGATGTTTAAAAAAAAAAAAAAAAAAAAAAAACAAACTTTTACTTCTTGAAAGGTAATACACTTGTTCTCACCAGTTGGGGTCCAAGGAGGTCCCCAGAAGGGAAAGGGGGACCTCAACTCAGCCCTGGCAAGTTCTTGACTTAAGCTGCACAAAGGAATTTCAGGATGACACGTCAAATGAGGCACAAGCAAAGGATTATTCAGGAAAGCAAGGGATTTCTTTAGGAGAACAAGCCACAGCGCAGGACCTGCTCTCGAGGGAGAGGGGTGTGGGCGCTCAAGAGCGAGACACACGCAGGGGTCTCAGGCTCTCTTCTAAAGCGGACTTTGTAAACAGTGGGCTGGAGACCTACCCAGGTGGCATCCGCCTAATGAGCTCAGTTCTTTTGAAGGTGGATCCCAGAGCTGGTCTAGGTGGTCTGGTTCTTCTCAGAGTCTTCATGTTGACGTTATCTAGTTAACAGCGCTTGGACTGGACCGTATCAGAGGTGTCTAGCAATCTCTCTCTGGGCTTCTTTTAATTATTCTAAAATACATCCTGTAAGCTAACAAGGTATATGGGCACCAATTAATTGGACTGACAGTACTCTAAGGTTTACTGGACCTTTGAAGAATTCAGACCTGGAGGAAAAGAGGATTTCCTGGAGATTAAAGGAGAAGGTGTTCATGGAGTTTTAAAGTTACAGTCCCTCTCCTTCCCTGTTTCTCTCCTTTCTGCCTGTTCTTAATCCTTCTACCTACCTCAATATGATCAAAACTCAAAAGATGCGTGAGGCTCTGTATGGAAATCTATATGCCCTGCATCCTTCTTCCCCAGCGGTACCCTCTTCCCTACCATTCTCCAGGTTCAGTGTTTTATTTATTCTTGAGATAGGGTCTCACTGTGTTGTCCAGACTGACCTTGAACTCCTTGGCCCAAGTGATCCCCCCCTCTTTACCTACCAAGATGCTGGGATTACAGGTATACACTGCGCACCCAGCAGTTTCCGTGGGTTTCGACTGTCTTGGGAATCCCCTTTTAGAATTTATGTCACCTGCAATTCTCTATGTCCAGAAATAAACCCATCGTCTTCCCCAGTCAGCCTCCTGGTTTTCATCTATAAGGTGAAATAATAGCAGCACTTCCCTCAGAGGGCCGTGTGTTCTCCTAGAGCCAGGCTTGTGGGTTTTAGCATGCTGGACATGTAGGGAGCACTCCGTAGACTGACGGCACAGCTTCTTAAAGGGCATATCTACGTAGGGTTTACCTACCCCTTCCCCACTCCCCAGCCCCATTGGCCACCTCTGTTGTCCACTGTCCTTCCCCTCCACTCCGGATACTTGGCTTCATCTGTCTCTCATGCTGTCCTTTTCTTGGGGGATTTGGATGGGGCAAGAAGAATTCAGAGGGAATTCCCTGGGGCTGCCTCCTCCTGCCAGGGTTCTTAGACTTAGCTGCTGAGAACTCTAAGTCCCCTCGTCTCTTCCACTGTCCCTTCCAATGTGGACGCGCCCAGTCTCTCTTCCAGGATGTGGCTGGTAATTAGTAGTTCATTCCTGACATTGCTCTTTCCTCCAGGGCCAAATGACAGAGGGGGATATATTTAAACATACAGGGTTTCTTGGCGGCTCTCGTGCACTTATTTAATCTTCCCACAACAGCTTATACTTCCCCGCCCCACCCTTGGGCTTCCAGAAACACAGGACAAATGTCATTTCCATAGTTTAAATACTTCCATGTGTCAGGTTTTCTAGTCCTTAAACATGAAGGACGAGGGTCTCGACCTTGGGGGCTGGGGGACTGGCAAGTGGCTGCCTGGCTGTCTGCTGTCCGTGATCAGCATCTCTTAGGAGGGAAGGATGGTGGGAGCTCACGTTGCTGCATTCCAATCTGCGCTCTGTCCACCTGCTGTCCCCTGCCCCACCCTTAGCAGACAAACATGCCACACAAGGAATGCACTTCAATCCAGCTGCGTGCACCTGCGTGTGCTGATGAGGAGTCTCTGCAGCGAGGTCCTTTCTCACGGGCACCGCTGACTTTCAACTGCTGTCCACTGAACGCTGCGTGGACCCAGTGGGACTTCCTGGGGAGAATGCAGCCGAGCGAAGCATCAGGATCTTGCCAAATAAAGGCATTAAAAGGGAAATGTCCTCTTATCCCAGCACCTGTCACCCCGTTGTTACACTTCATATTTTATTTCAGAGAACGTTAGATTTATCATGCTGTGTGCTTCAGCCTGCAGGATAAGCTGCCCCTGAGGGGTTCGCTGGGCTCGGGCAGTCCTCCTCCATCCAGGAAGCCTTCCCTGACCACCCAGTCCTGGCCTTGTTTTCTAGGGGTTCCCATAACCAGTACTGGGTGCAAAGGACACTGGCTGGGGCCCTGTGTTTTTAGGAGCTCCCCCCTGACCCTGCTTTTGACCAGTCCTCCTTCCAGGGCAGACAGCAAGGGGCCAAAGGGATGTGCCCACCCAGAGCCTGTTCACTCCCACTGGACCATGCTCTGGGCACCCAAGACCCCCAAGTGTCCTCTTCTCTAGGTCCACCCTGAAAGGGACTCCATGGCTGTGAACACAACCCTAGAGCACCAAGGTGTGGCCCGGCACTGACCGTTACTGCTGGGGAGAAACAGGCCGCAGTCTTCACAGCCCACGCCTGCCCTGGGCCTCGAAGTACCGGGTGGGTTCAGAGTTATGGAGCCCGAGCGGGAGAGGCAGGGGTCTGTCTGATAAGGTAGGAGAATTGCACACATTCGTTTATGGTTGGTAAGCTTGATTTATAATTCTTAAACACTCAGATATATGGTCTACATGCCTCCTCTGTACTTTGCCCTGGGTCCTGCAAATGTGAAACGTTGGCCTGCTCATACCACCCTGGGAATCTCTCTAGGGTTGCCATGCTGACCATTTATAACTATCTGAGTTCATGACTGAAGCAGCTGCCTGCTACTCCCCAGCCTCAGGGCCCTTGCCCACACTCTTCCCTCACCCAGAATGCACTTCTCTACGACCCCTTTAGCCTACCAAACTTTTAATTTATCTACCCACCATTTTCCCAACCTGTTCAATTAGTTCAGACTCTTTGGTTCTTCACTCACATCTTCCTCCGATAAATGCTGAGGGGGAAGTACTACAGTTATAAGAACACCAGTGTTAGGGCAGGGGTGGGTCGACCCTGATGACTAATTGCCAGACGTCGTGACAGGTGCTTTCCATATGTCACATTTATTCTCAGAGGAAATCTGATAAACTACCAGCGTCACCCTTGTTCTACAGATGAAGAAACTGAGGCTTCAAAAGTGTGGCAGACGGTTATGCTGAAGGTCCCCCAGGGTATTCACGTTGCTCCGGCCCATACGGACTCCCACTTCCGAGGGGATCAGGGAAGCGTGACTTCTGTGAAGGCCAGACGAGCCTTGCACACTGCAGCTTGGTAAAATATCCAGCTCACTGGGAAAGCACGGGGCAGAACAGGCCCTTTGAGGGCCACTTACGCAGAGCTCGAAACCTGTCATAAAGCACCCTAGAAAAGGACTTCCCAGGGCCATTGGGAAGCCCAGACTAATAAAATAAAGAGATGAACATAAAGAACCCGGTGCTGAGAGAGGCCCAGCAGGCTTGCACCCCAGCTGAGCAGGACCCCAGTAACCCTGCGGCTGAAGCAGTGACCCTCAGCAACAGCAGTACAAGTGCACTCAGCCTGGAACTATGGCTGTGGGACACCACTGTTGGGGTGTGATGTCATTACGGCCATAGACACCTGCACAGTGGCATCCTCAGCAACAGATGACTGGCGCAGAGAAGCGTTTGCTCAAAAACCTGGAGCCAACACGGGATAGATGTGAATTCACACTACAGACTCACACTACCTAGGTTCCCAGTCCTGCTGTCCTGTTTTGGACCCTGGGTGGGCATGATCACCGTATCCCCTCTTGCTGGCTCCTGTCCTGGTCTCCACCACTATACTGTCCCCTTCTTTATATAACCATGTACCAGTTGCTGGGCATTTAGGTTGTCTCCAGTTTGGGGTGATTATGAAAAATACTGCTAAGAAGATTCTCATGCAAGTCTTTATGGGATCATGTGTTTCCATTTCTCTTAGGTAGATACCTAGAAGCAGAATTGCCAGGAAGTCTGATTTATTTTTAACTATAAACTGTTTTCCAAAGTGCCTTTGTCATTTTGTATAATCCATCTATGGATTACTTGCTCCCCACCAGGTGAAGAAAAAGAATTCTCTACTTTTTAAATCAACTTTCAGGGTTGTTTTTCCTTGAAGAATTAATTAGGTCCTTGAGACTGTCCCAGCCATGTTCTCCCGGGTTGAACTCTGCTCTCTTCTCTATGGTAACCTTCCCTAGTCATTTATGATGGTCACACTCAGTGCACACATGTCATTATTTATTTATTTGAAACACTTTGCTCGTGGGCTGGTTCCAGTAATCGTTTAGTTTTCGGCTCTCCCAGGGGATGGTCATGTAAAGGTGCCGAGGCAAGCTCTGAAGAAGCAGCGCCTGTAGCTCAGAAGACACACAGGAAACCAAGCCCCCCAAAGTAGACTTCAGAAGAGCGAAACCTGGGGCCGTATTTTCCATAAGGGTACATGGGCCCCAAGTGCGTCCTCGTGAAGGTCGCTAGGGTGAAAGGCAGTCTGAAGGACCGAGGGCGTAGGAGGCCTCAGCACCCAGAGAGATAAGCACAGGGAGAGGAAGGCAAGTCTAGGGACGTGTGACACTGTGCGCCCGCACAGCCCCCCCAGCCAGGCTCCCAGATTGCCTTCATAGGACTCCTTCCTATTGTGCAACTATACGTAAAGAAACTACGGTCAGAAATTCTGTTTCAAAATCTTTCTAGGTTGTTTCTGCACAATGGCAAGAATATACACTTTCAAAAAATTGTCAAATGACAAAAGAGAGAGAGAGGTTCAGAAATGAAGTCTAAGACGAAGTCTGAAAATTGTCATCAAAGCCTTGGTGACACTAACCATGTTCACCCCCCGGGAGGGAAGTAGATGAAGTCACAAGATTGTGGTCCCTAAAGTCATTTGTATAAGAGTTTCAGGTGCCTGAAATAGCAAACTAAATAGCTAAACTAAGATTTCTGACATTGAGAACTCAGTAATAAAGGAAATCACTATCAAGTAGTACACAGGGTCTCTCTTCACGGCTTTCTGATTGTGGAATTGGTTTCCCAACCTACATGTGTGCTAAAATCTCAAAGAGTCACACACACACACACACACACCCCACATGAAAAGAGCGTGTGAAAACTAGTGAAATCTGAATAAGGTCTATACTGTGTTGTCAATGTTACGGACCTGGGACCTGGGCGGTTTCCTGGTTTGGGCCACCCTAGAGTCACAGGAGGTATTGTCACTGGGGTAGCTGAGAAAAGTGCATATGCAAATCCTATTACTATTTTTAAAACTTCCTTTCTTAAACTATTTCAAAATAAAAGGCATGTGAAAGAAAGAAGAAGGGAGGGAGTTACCCAGGAAGGGAGGGAGAAGGGCGGGAGGGGAGGGGGAGGGATGGCCGGAGGTAGGAAGAGGGGGAGGCAGTAAGTGTGTTGCTCGGCTTTCCATCACTATAACAAGATGCCTGAGGTCATTGCCCTATAAGGAGGAATGGTTGGTTGGGGCTGACCGTTTGGGAGCTTCCATTCCTCGCCTGTTTGGCCTCGTAGCTCTAGCTCTGGGCCTGTGGCAAGGCGGTGCAGAGGGACTGTGATGTGCTGCAAAACTGTTCACTTCAACTTCTAGGAAGAACAAAGGAAAACAAACTGGGGCCCTTAAATCCCCTTTGAGGGCACACCCCCAATGACCTACGAGCCCCCCCCCCCTCACCAAGGCCCCATGTCTTCAAGCTTCCACCTCCTCCTGACAGCACCACCCTGGGGTCAAGTCTTCAACCCGTGGACATCGGGGGACATTCCACACCTGAATCACAGCAGTAAAGTACCTCTGAAATTTGAGATCGAGGGTCACCTCTGAAAGGGAAATAAAACCAACCTATATACACACATGCACAAAAAACCCCACCTTAAACTGCAGTCTACACATGAGTGACATTTCCTAATGGAGGAGACCAGGTGTAGCGTGGGGAAATCAGCATGCCTCAAGAGGGGTCTAGCTGCAGGAACGGCACCTTTCTTTGGCAAGAGTGGCATCTGTAGCTCAGCCTTCGCTGTTTCTGCAAGCAGAGAATGCAGGTGTCGGGCATTGTCCCCAGGAGAAGCCTGTACTGGCTGTCCCAGCGTCATTGGCAGGGTTACTTCTCCAGCAGAAACAGACACATCAGACGATCCCAGTTTGGCGACAAGAGCCATTAAGACCATTCTTGAATTCCCTGTGCTGTGACTGTATACGCACTTTGGCTATCTGTCTCATTTTTGCATAGCAAGATAATGAGCTGGTCAGCCAATGGAAGGGTTTTAGTCCACTTGACATTATTTCTTCTTCATAAATTAGTAATATGGCATTCTGGTTCATGTGTCGATATCTTATGGGTTTTATGAGTGAGTAACCAGCACAGGCGTTCTTAACCTAGAAACCAAGATTGGGATTCAAGGACTCCATTAAGTCGTGAGATTGTATGCAAATGGCTGTGTGTGTGTGTGTGTGTGTGTGTGTGTGTATGCAGTGCGCATTTATCAAGGAGAGGGGTCAGTAGCTTTCACCAGTTTCTCATATGATTTCAAATGCAATGACAAAACAGAATTTCTGGGCTGGTGAAACTAAACTACCATGCTGAGATACTATGTTGCAAAATAATAATGTCTAAGAGCATCCTTTCCCCTTTACTCCAACTATCTTATACTAAGTGAAGTATTTCATAACCTGGTTTTGTTTTTCTTTCATTTTTACAGAGCACACTATGAATGTTTTCCTGTGTGGTTCTTCGATGACACCATTTTTAACAACTTCCATAGAATTCAATTGGTCAACTTCATCACAGAAGATTTTAAAGCTTCCTCACTTATGACCTCTCAGAGGCTTACCTTTTTAAGCAAAATGTTGACTTAGTTTTATTAATAGATGTGCCAGTGTGAGAAACAGTGGCCATCGCTCTTATTGACGGCTAATGTTTCGGAGACACGGGCTCCAGGCCAGGCAATGTGCTGCTTTGCATATGACACCCTATTGTGGCTTTACAACAGCCCTGGAAAGCAGGTATTATCAATCCATTTAATAGTTGAGAAAACTGAGATACAGAAAAGTTAAAGAACTTGGCAAGGTCACTCTGCTCTCAGTGATGGCGTCACACTGGCAGGCCACATCTGCTGGCCTTTCACAATAACCATGATGCCCAATGTCTTATCTTTCAAGGTCCATTTGGATGTACTTTCTTCTACCTCAATTCTCCCTTCTTGGAAGTCCTCTGATTCTCAACTAGTTCTAGACCACCCCTGACCGTGACATTAGAGTATCATCTAACTCAGGGGTCCTCAAACTTTTCCACGAGGGACCAAACAGTAAATATTTCTGTTTCTGTGGTGCATATGGTCTCTGTCAAGGCCATTCAGCTCAGCTGCCCACTGTAGCATGAACATGGCCATAGACTGTGCATGAATCAGTGAGCGTAACTGTGCTCCAACAATACCGTATTTAGGACATTGAAATTTGGATTTCATATAATTCTCACATGTTACAAAACGCTGTCATTCTTTTGATTTTTTAACCATTTAAAATAAACCATCCTTAGCCCATGAACTACACAAGAACAGGTGGCGGACAGGATTGGACCCATGGGCCTGTGTCTTATGTATTCACATGCTCCACAGCTAGGCAGAAAAAATAACCTTGTCTTCTCCACAGAATCTATCTACAGGGACAAGCTCATAATTAAATGTCCAACAAATACTCGATTGTAGTATGGCTGCATGTGGCATCTTTATTTTCTTCATCCTCTCCTCTCCCTAATGAAATTCTGCATCTCTAAAATATCTCAGCAATTGTTTAGTTCTGAGGACTGATAAGAAAAAAAGAAAACAATCCACGTGCTCGGCCAGCTTAAAGGTCAGATGGCATTTTGGCTGGGGACCAAGGAATACAGCTGGTGAAAAATCAAGCTGTCACACACTTGTTGCTAGCCCTGGTTTTCTAGTTCCTTCCTC